ACAAATGAAATTTAAAACCATTTTGCAAATTTCAAACCCCTTCCCGGACCTTTGTAATGAAAGCCTGTATGTCTGAAAAGTTAAATGATATCTACCCTAATTGTTATTTTATTAGTTCGTCATGATTACTGGGCCTAGTCATTCAAGCTTTGTTTTTATCTTAAACACTTTGTTAAGAAATTTGCCATGGTGTCATGGGAAATTCTGTTTGGCTTAAGTTTCAATTATTCAATCATTGTACATAATTCAAGCGTAAATTATCTAACGACCTGTAAGGATATAGCCAGTTCACTTAATTCCGTGCGTTAATTTCACATTGTCATGTGCGAATGGATAACAGCGTATTTTTTACAGTTTAAAGATTTGTACATTCTGCACATTAATAGAAAAGTATGTATGCCGCCGAAAAAGTTGCATTACAATATAATTCAAATACATTTTTCTATTTCTTAACACTTGTAAGCTTTTTTCTTTTGCATTTACATTTGCTAATTACTTAAAGACACATTATGCTTTTGAAACGAATAAATGTTTACCCTTTTAGAAACGACATACACGAATTTGATGGGGTTTGAATAATGATTTTAGAGTTTGTAAGATGCTTGTGACTAGGAAGGAATGAAAGCTGAATGAAAACTTAGTTGTCACAAAAGTAGCAAAATGTACATAAGGTAGTATTTCGAATTCAAAATGTAATACACAATCACTATTTATTTACGAATTGCCAGAAAGCAACATAACTAGAACGTTTCTATGAGCTGATTCCTCTATGTCGGGATACTTAAATATTACGTTATATAGAATTTTCTTTAGGTTTGTTTGTTTGTTTGTTTCGTTTTACGCCTTTTTCTAACAGTATTTCAGTCATATAGGCCGGTAGTTTCCTAACTATCGTTCCTGGAGAGTAACACCAGTACTAGACAACCTTCCTCCGTGCTAAACTACCAATGCATCTCCCGGGGATAGAACCCATGCCAGAGAGGTAACTGGATAAGAAGTCATCGACTCTAACCCTACAACCACGGAGGCGTTTTCATTAGACCACATGCCCATGATTCTATAAACTTTTGGTGAAGTTTAGGAAAAAGATATCAATGTTGAGTGCATAGTTGTAGAAAAATGCACAAATCAAGTTAAATGCACATGCATATAATTACAAAGACCAACAGGCGAGTGTTTAATTAAAAAAAATTAACGATCAACCATGCATTATTATACCTTAATGCAGGAAAAATAATACGCGGAAGGTGCGAGCGAGGCCGAATGCCCCGCGAGGGCTTTAGCGCTCTTAGATAATATGTACATGACGCGTATCAATTCACATGAAATCAAATTAAAAGTAAATGAAAATTTCAATATATATAAATATATCCTATACCAAATGAGCTGTGAAAAATCCTAAGTTAAATGGGCGCCGCCATATTGAAATCCTTTTGAGCTAAATATAGCTATCAGTGCGCTTTTAATGAGCGTCTACATAGTTCACACTATTGCTAGAAGACGCATGCTAAATTACTCTTCCGGTGAAAGAATGATGTACAAATTCAGAAAATAAACATGCATTTCATTGATTAGAACTATAGTAACGATTATAAATATAAAAAGCTAATTTAACATATGTGATTAACAAAAATGGCGGACGGGATTTTCCAAACTTCCCCCAGCAGTTACTTCCCCTGATCTTTACAGTAAAAGTTACAGTTAAAGTAGCAAAGCGTGACGTAACCGCTGTGAGGAGTTTGGGGATTTTCAAAACGCCGACGCATGCGCAGTGGTCCCGCTTTACGTTCGGAGATTTTCGGAATATTCCGAACGCTCCGATGATAGGTTGAACACCACCAATTTATTCGTTTTGTTTACGGTACAATATACCTGCAAGAAAGATCTGGTTTACATGTACTTCTAAAATCATAACTCATAACAGCTTTCCGCGCCATAGGTAGCACCTAATTTCATACTATCTTACTAATATTATATTTTAACATGCTTAAATATAAACGAATTTATGACAAAAATGTTGTACAACATTTAGCGTAGAAGTAAGTTTCATGGTGTCATTTGTGTTTTGACGTCATATATGACGTCATAAGATGGGTAAGCATTCATTTTCGATCCTGTGCACATATTGTGTAATAATGCATTTGATCCTTTCTGCTTGACAGGGGAATTGATTGAAGCATGGTGGAATAAATTATCAAGCATTAATTAAATTATAAATCAAGAAGAAACTAAAATCAAAATAGATGTACTGATGGGCTGATTATGAGTAGCTGTGTTTAACACATCTCAATAAGAAAGTTAGACGTTTGTTTTTGTAAAAATGCACTTAATAATATCACTTAAAACAGACTGCACAGAATGTGATAACTATTGCAAAATTGGCATTAATACAGTACTTTTACAGATACAGTTTCGAAAATAATACAACAGGTTGACTTATGTATCGTGACGGGTAGTGCACCATGAAGCTATAACGGTAAGTTTGGTACCTACGAATTGCCTGGGAAAAAGTCACATGTACCGAGTTCCGGAAAACATCTATTGTTCCAGTGACATTACGAATCGTCGATAACATTGAATTAAGAGAAGTTTTTGATTCTCGATCAACGATTACACTGTCGACGCACGTGATAGAATAACTTACTTCTACTCAGAAAAATAGTCAAGTGAAATCAAAACTGTTGCAAAATTGAGAACTTTTTAATCAAACAATGAATGTGAAAACTGTACAAATCTGAATCTTACAAAATATGAACGTTAATTATTTTGCTAAATTAGAAACGGTATATTGGCTCTTAGAATAGAAAATTGATCGCTATATAGGAAAAATTGTTGAACAAAGGATTTGTAGATTTTGCACTGTAAACAACAAAAAAGACGAAAAACGTGTCTTCTAACATTGTGCCATATAGAACAAACATATTTTGAAACATATTTCTCTCACAAGACTTTGTGAACCTTGCAGACGATTGCAAATTAAAACATTTAATTTGTGAATTTCCAAGAATATGTGCTCAATTTGTTGTAAGTGCTTATCTCTACAGACGTTTTGTAATGTACTGTATTTGAACCAAATACTATTCACTTATGAAAGACGAACTAAATTTTATACGATATGATAAGACTGTAATGTAATCTAGATTTATTGATGTCTTGACTGTAAATTGCCATATGCACTATTTACAATTACTATGAGAGTTTTATTTACTATTGAAGATACTGTTATCGTTATTTACTCAAGCATATTTACAAAATACGTGTATTCCTTTGTAATATTAGACAGAAGAACACTCATACTTCATACAATTTATTCCATTTAAATTAGTGTAGTATTACACATGAAAGGTGTGTAATAATTAGCGGAATCATTGTACATGATAAACTAGAATCTTTAAAATGAAGACCTTTTTTTTCTTTCCTTTTTTCGATTACACTTCTTAAAGATGTTGATATTAATGATTCGGAGACAACTTTATTCAAATGCGATAATATAACCACAAGAAAATCATGCGAAACATACTCCTTAAACTATAATCGAGAATCAAAAATCTTATTTACTAATCGCTCTTCTTAAGTTTTCAGTAATAAACACATTGACTCAAATGGTATTTGAAAACAATCAATAATTTATATGTAAATACATAATGACGACATTATTATATGATTTCTGGTAACTTATAGGCCCATTGGACCGGGTGATTTATAGTTATATAGAACATATTGAATGAGTAAAGGTTCACTACTGAATTTTTAACTAGTTAAAGCGAGCCTCTGTCGAGTATATAAAAAGAGTTCAAAAGATTTAGTAATAAAGCTACACGATTATAATATTCTATTTAAAAACACAGAAAAAATATTTCTTTCATTTAATCTCTTGATGTATATTACTGATATTTAGCGCGTCTTTACTATGTCTGTATAAAGTAAGGTCAACAATCAGTAAATTTCATTTATCATGCAGAAATGAAGTCAATAATTATTATTAAAGGGAAGTAAATGCTAAAATATGTGTTACGTTAAGTTACTTAAGTTATTCCTCTTCATTTGTCATAGATTTCTGTTTCTGGATTGTATTGATAGGCATTGTAGCTAAAGATAGACAAATTCTTTGTCATTAAACGAGATGTATTTGAATGCTTTTTACGTAAACATTCTCACATTTCAAAAACCAAAATATTCTAGTTTTATATCATGATATATTCTTGTCTGTAGTATCCATACAATATAATTATGATGATGTAGATATATGTATCGTGTTACATAGCCACTCTGTGTATGCCTCTTAAATAACAAGTAGCGTACAATATTCGCTCGTAGTGAATAAACGTACACTGTGTTGCTATCTGGGATCTCGGCCCCCAGGGACATGTTACCGATATAACAATGACATCTGTCATTTATGTTTTATGTGATGTGTTTGTCTATGTATATGTAATATGGTAATGAGCTTGTTATTCCTAAACCAAGTAATACAATTTCTGTTTTGTTCTATTATGTTCTGTATAACGTAAACAACCTCACGTCAAAATTGATGAACAGCCATGAAAAACATTTTCAATGAGTCGCAAAAGTGCCACGGGTATGTGATTAATATTTTAACATGAAAAAAAGAATATGAATTTTCAAACCTTACTTTCAAAAAATGTTTGTGTTCTCCATTACTTCATTATAATTTGAAACACTGTTTTTGCTGAAAAATTTGCTAATTACATTTAGGTTGTTATTAAGACTTATCTGTCATTGCAACAACATCCAGACACACACACATATCTCATTGTTTCCTCCAAAAGCTCATTAAAACATTGGATATTATATATCTAGTTAAAATATACCATAACAAACTTTTGCAGAAAATAATCAATTGGTGCACAGTGCTTCAAAGTAAGGATTAAGTCTTAGTTTATAATATTGATGTTTTTTGGGTATCCATCATGTAATAACGCGTAAAATTCATCAGATGATATTGTGAGCCAAGAAAAAAAAAACATACAAAAAGAACAAATGCGTACATGCTATATTTATTTGAAAACGTGACAATATAGTGGTATATATTTACTTATAAACACAGCAAAATATTATATTTTTCAAGATTTGTTATCAAAATATATTCTTCCTCAGATAAATATTTGTTAAGAAAAATCAGATATACGATTATCTTGTATAATGTCATATAAAAAAGTTGGATGATTTAATCATTCAATTATTGACAAGTATTCCACTGAATGTGTTCATGATATTTGAGCTTTGACATAGCTGGCGGTTAGAAGCTGACGATGTTGATTTGACCCAAACCTTTTCACCCGATCTTACTCTCACTATTGCTCCAACAGTACTACAGGTGTGATAATCCCCATCATAGTTTGAATCTGCTGCAATAACTGTACCTTCCAACACCAGACCAATAAAAGCATGTTTCTTGATATAAGCGCATGTATGAACAACAAACTGGTATATTCCTCCAACGGGTGCTGTAAATATTCCAGTAGAAGTGTCGTAGCCTGTTCCCTCGTTAATCAGGCTTTTCGTAAATATAATTATCTCATCTTTAGTATCAAGAAGCAAATCTGCCACGTGGTGTGCATGGAAAGCAATCGGAAGTCGTTCAAGTTTTCCTGAGTATAGAAAAAAGTAAGTAAGTAAGTACATTGTTTCGTTATGATTTGTTTTGTGTTTGTATATCTGGTCATGAAGAATTGTTATGCGTATCAATCGTCGATGGTTATATATAAAGAATAGCCAGACTTCCTGATTATAATTTAAAATTCAGTTTGTAATATAAGCGTTTTGGAAATATCTTATGAATATCTGTGTAAAACATGATATTTTTAGAGCTATAATAGAACTATTTTTGTAAAATAAAGATGATGATATGACTTCAAAATTAGAATATGTACATGTAATTAAATAAGTTTAAAGATAATGGCAATAATAGTTTATAGTTAACGCAAAAGGTGAGTTAAACTCTTAATCATTCAAACTGACTATTGATGTATTATATAACGTGAATTCACTTTAAAACAATCAATTGAATAATTAAATAAGATTTTATGAAACACAGTTTGGAAAATTATCATCCCGTGGATGTAGAATGAGAAAAAAATACCTTGAAGTTGAGTAAGTTCTTCTCTTTTAGCTTCCATGTCACTCATGAGGTTGGTTCTGGTCTCCTCAAATAACTTCTTGAAGGATTCTGTAAAAACGTATCAAGGTACAATTACTGTCACCAAATTTCAATAAGTGTTATAAATGTTATGTTGTGTACATATTGACTGCATGTAGAAAGTGTTGCTGATAACACGGAACTTGATTCGGAACTAAGTTTTATATAGCCGGTAGTGTAACTTTTGAAATAAAGAATTAAGGGAAGAAAAACATCCAGCATTCTAACAGATATTTTGATTGTCTTCGCTCACATTCCATAATCAAATTTCAATGCTCTATTGGCTAACAAAATAGCCATTTCATAAGGTTATTCAATATAGAATAAATGTAATGAATAGTCAGGGAATATGTTTCCTAATAAGAAAAACTAATGTGATGAGTCAGCGTTTTCCTTCATGGAGATATGTTTGTTTTGGTATATTCAACAAAAATGTTTACTATTATTCATTTAACATTTAATGTTTACTGTAAATCATGTTTTGTATAGATCAGAAGTATACAAATCATACAAATCACATATCTAATTTAAATATACAGCAGTTTTCTTTGATGCAAGAGCTAGAGAAAGGCTCACGACACAATAAGGCAGAAGGGTAACAATTAACTGATGTACTTTTATAAATTTTATATATGTTCATGCTGCACATTGTTTAGCACGGGGCTGTTAATCATCAATCAATTTTATGAAAATTTACATGGAAAAATTTACCATTTTATTGTTGTTATTTTGTTTTCCCTTTATCTATTTATAACTTGCATCAATAAAAGTTATGCAATATTCTACCGTTTATTAACATAGACAAAAATGTCTATAGACATAAATGTCTGATAAATATGTCAGCATTGTAACAGGTGTATGAAATAGCTTCTTTTTTAAGGCTTATGACTCTTTGAATTTTAAATGTTCCACGCATTTATCATATCTCATTTCAGTTTTAATAAAGCTATGCGAACTATAACGTTATATTGATTTAGACCTAAACAACAATCAGTGTACACATATCACTTTCTAACCATGTAGATTTGATGTTAATATTTTACCTCCTCTCCTATCTATCTCGTCATTTCTCTTTAACATCTCGTCCGTTATGTTTCCTCTCAAGTCTGCAAACATGTCTGTAAAATCTGAAACTGTTTGTTTAATGTCACCTAATGTACTGATGACATTATCCTCAGTTTTCTTAATTTCATTCACCATTGTTTCTACCTTAATTTCAGTCCTTATCATTTTTTCTAAAAGTTGTTCTTCATATGCAAATTTAGAACATACAGGCTCTCTAGCCTCAGAAAAATTATAACTATATATTCCAACGACAATAACAAATGAAAATAATAATGAGAAACCCATTTTGATGAGGACAGTTGGAAAATAAATCAGAAAAGGTATCTGAATCTTACTCGCTGAGGGAAACAATTGTATTTATACAAGGGAATCTGCGTTGTTATTTGAGTATGAGGCCCGTTATAAGATTTTTAGTATAGTTGTTTAGCATAAATGCACTGAAATACGGTATCGAAGGAAATCCCTTAGATACAGTTTGAGGAAAACAGTTTGATTTTTCTTTAAATAGACCGCCCTTCCAACACTGTAAATAAAGAGAACACCGATCGCGTTCACACTTGTTCAATTTTGGAACATTTCGCGTTATAGTTTGAATACATCTGTTCAGCGAAGTTGCACGAGTTGAACGTCAGTGTTTTATGACAGTCCTTCTGACTAGACAACATGAAAGTATTTGAGTTTTTAGTACTTGGGTATGTTTTTTGGTCAATGTATTGTAACTGATGTTAGATTTACGCAATTCAGTAAGTAATGATGCTTTAAAAATTAAAACATTATAAAGTTGAACATAATATGAACAGTTGCGTTCATTCAGAACGTGTCTAAAATGGAATTGTGACAATTTGTGACGTCATAATGAACATTCGCACGAGGGCACCAATTCAAGTACAACATCAACAAGTAAGCGTCGGCGAAACGCAAGCTGAAGCATTCGGAACTGCCTCGGCTATTATCTATAATAACCTCGGAAACAATACGGATTGAAAGTAGTTCTACCACGTGGTTTAAGATGTAAACAGTAAAACGAATGTATATATTTGACATGTAATGTCTGTTCCGGTACTCTTATGCTTGAATATGTCTGACAACAATTTGTAATTTAAATATGCCCACTGTGTTTAATTTTGAACACATCCGACTTAATGTCAACAGGTTGTTTGTTTTTTTTGTACTTTCTGTTTCTACAGCCATAGTAATAAATATAAAAATAATGTATTGTTTGCTTTTGTACCTATGAATTCACTTATTTTAGGTGGACTTTTACTACATGTATTGGAAATAAACTTGTCAACAACTCCCAGTATTTAATTACTATTTGTTTACATATTTAGTTTCTTAGCGTAGGTTAGACCGAAATACCGCATTCATACTATTGTGTTCGAGGTCCTTATCCGAAGACTGACGGAAAGTGCCGAGAAGTTGCGATTGAAGCTGAAGTAAGATTATCTCTACACTAAAATTGAAGAAAAATACGGTATAAACTTTAATCAAGTAGATCTAACATATACTTCATTAGTATCCATAAATTTTATTTTTATTAAATGGGTTTATGTACAGTATAGAACTAAGTCGACATGTTGTTGTAGTTCACATTGGCATAACGTGTCTCTATTATTTTTACAAGGAGTAGATATGTGAGAATGTAGATTTTTCTGAGCAGTCGGTGTTATTTATATGCTAAGATAAATGAATTTTAAATTTTGTGTGTAGTTCTTTAAATGATATATTTTGTTTCTTTATATTTAAATAGGATAAGTAGTAGATCTAAGTACATGTATACTGTTGTTTCAAGCAGTGCTGAACGCTTTGAAATGCTGTATAGATCTACAGAAACTGGAGCAAAATATTTACAGACATAATTTAAGAAGCCCTGAGGCGAACCTCGGCTTATTATGAGTGTACGCCGAGTGCGGGTTTTTGACCGAAGGATCGCCAGAGATCAAAGATAGCTTTGTGCTATAACTAAGGATTTAGGGGATATGTAATCTAATCGTACTCTCCTATTGCCTTTATCATAACATCGAGTGCATATTGAATGTGAGAAATAGCACGAAGTCTAACGTGTACACTGTTTTAAATAGTTCAAAAGTTATTTGCTTTTAGAAAAAACGAAACATAGCCAGGCGTCTCTTTTGTAAAAAGATGGGTTTTATTTCCTTTTGTAACAAGTTTAGTTTTTCTTTGTTATTTTTCTTTTGTTTCACCATAACTTAACGTGAGATATAATCAAGGAAAATATGCTTTAAAGTGATCTGTATGACTTTTATACAAACACAACAGCTTAAATGTTTAGTGTAACGAAAAGGTTATCGTATTCACAGCTAAAATGTAGTATCGCACGATCATTTAGCTTCCTTAAATTATTTTAATGCGTATTATGTCAATGTTGTAGACAATAAATATTGCCTTTAACATTTTTGTTCTCAACTCTAGTCTTTCAATTTCCATTCGAAATATTTAAGTTATTTCAATACGAAGTTGAATGCCTCACGCACATAAAACATGTTGGTATAAACAGACTCGCCAATTTGTTATCTTAAGTCGGCGAAAATAAATGAATTTAGACATGATGTGTCTTATATGGTTATACATTGTTCTCGTTGTATATTTGTCTATGTTGAAATATGTATAGATGAGACTACGTATAATAAAGAATATATATACAATAGAAACAATTTTCTGTAGTGATATATTTTGTAAATACTTAATTTGTATTCTATTTAACGGTCAGATAAACAAAAGTTGAATTTGGTTTGTGACGATGGATGTTTGCAATACTTCACTGCAAAGATCTGATTCACAGTGTCAAAACTATTCTACATAATTTGAAATGAATATAAGTTGAATGAATATTACTAAACTTAAAAATGATATACTGATTTATAGTTACAAAGTAAAATATAAAAAGACATTCCGCTAACTCACTCCCTTCCATTTTGCTGCAAACGCCAAGTTGCAAACAAGATCTTTATTTTGCATATAGATCCAGATGTATAAAATGAAATAAATGTTTACTTTTCACTGATTTGATTCTTCTGAAAAAAATATTGTAATATATTGGCCAGTTCTTATCCTTGTTTGGATTTTGACGCGGTATATTAGCGATATAACGCTTAATTAAGCTGAAAAAAAGAAAATTCCCAAGAAATTGTTTGTATCATATTTTTACTCCCTTTCTTCAGTTTTGATTGTGCATAAAAAAGTAACGCATGTGCATAAAAAAGTAACGCATATTCGAATAAGGTAACATCCTAAGCATACCTGTAGAATCAATAAGCAGCTACGAATATGCTGATCGATCTTCGCCCAAATTAATGATTTCATTTTTTTTTTCGAAACTTTTTCTTTTTAATAGCCCGTGCGTATTGGCGTATCGGTAGGTACGCCACTGCAGTCAAGGGGATGTTGTTTGAGGACTTCCATACAGATCGTTGAGGTTTGTTTCCTTTAACGATACAATAGGCGGACAATATTTAAATTCCAACATTTCCAAATGAGTTGTAACTGTTAATCAAATTATTAATTATTATAAACAATGATAGCCTGACACAATGTTGTGTAGAACAAGAATCTTATCTACGGATTCAAACCGACTTTGGTAAGAAAGTACATAGCCCTCGTGATGTTAGAAGTGTATTAACATATATATGACTGGAATATATTTACAAAATGTATATGTGTGTGTGCGTGCGTGCGTGCGTGTTTGTGTGTGTGAATATATATATACAAGGTGCGAAAAAAACTCGACCGCCAAATAGCAGTCGAGTTATTTTCCTATATGAATCAATGAAAAAACTGTACTGTTATATATCAATACAGTTTTCGAATGTTCATTGAAGTGTTTGAAGAATATCTGTTGCAAATAGGCGTTAGATTCATGCTAGTTTTCCTGAAATTTTGAAAATGTATTTAACAGTATAATATTGTGAAGTTATCAAAAGAATGCAAGTTTCACATTATCAATGGCACTTACAATCCGCGTAAATTACCATTAAGAGGTCAACATGTACAAAAATAGCCCTTACTGTGTTAGTAACGCAGTAGAAATGTAGTTATAAATACTGGAAAAAACCGGTCATTAACCGCACATAACATGTAAATTATTACTAGAATTTTGAATCTTTATATTTTTTATAAAATGTTAGTACATTTTTCCCAGGTTTGACTTTATCGAAATATTTTTGTTCATCTGGAGGCGTGTTTTCTAGTCTTGAACATTTCATTTACAGTGCAATTGAGATTTAAGTGTCAGCATTATAACAAATAAATTAGCATGTTTCTAATAAAACATACAGTTCATCTCAGGATCTTTTAAAATAATCTTTAGTAATAAAGAAAGTGGTGTGTTGATTATTAATACCAAGTCTTTAATTAAACGTCAATTCAATTTATATTTTTTTTGCAATTGTCACAAAACTCTTGTAAAGGGAAGATTCCTTTTCAGAAAAAAAATGAAAAATGCAGACTTGTTCTGATCGAGATTGTTCGTGAGAGATTCTCGATTAATTATCTCGATGCACCAGAGTATTAAAGTAATACTGAAATGAATTGTTGTATGTTAGAAAGTTACTGAAGTAGTTTACAGAATATTGGTCATACTTAACTGGTACTAGCTTATAAATGACGATCCGTTTCTAGAGTTACTGAGCATAACTCGTTTATAATTGTCACTTATCAGACCTGTCCACTATTTAGGGGAGAAGATGTGTAAGCGGCCGGATAGCTTAGTCGGTAGAGCCACGGTACGGTATTCCTATGGTCCCGGGTTCGAGTCACGGTCAGGCTGCACATTTTTCTCACCCTGTGACATTTGGCGCCTAAGGGGACCGTGACTGAATATAGCTCAGAGTATAATTCACATTGCTCTGTAACTCTTTGAAATTCGAGGACGAATTTCAATAAAGCAGGGGAGTATGTCACGGTTTAGAACTGTTCACTATTTGAGGAGAAGCTCAGTCGGTCAGACTGCACATTTGTCTCACCCTGTGACATTTGGCGCCCAACGGGGGACCGTGACTGAATAAAGCAGTACCATATACCGATGGTCCCGGGTTCGAGTCCCGGTCAGGCTGCACATTTTTGTCACCCTGTGATATAATGATATTTGAAAAATATGTTATATAAAACATTTTTACTTTACACACTGTTGATATATTAACGTTTTAAAAATAGACAGTCTCTTTCAACCTATGCTTCAATGGTTAAATCCTAAACATTGCAAGAAAAACAGGGTTAATCATTTGAGGAAACCATTTTAACGTTGCTTTATTCAAAATACTTTGATAACAAGTTTTAACAAGTTTTATTTATCTTTTTCCAGAACGTCATAAACC